GAAGAAAATGACAAAAAAGATTTTAATGACACTTAAAATAATGTATTTGGTTGTTGATCATGGGAATGCATGAAAGATTCCAATTCTAAAATTTTTCTAAAATAACGGCGGAGGAATTTACAACAATGATAGGTAATATTGTATCAAGGCTTAGGAAAATGCTTGGAAGAATCTTATATTATTAAGTAGATCTTATATGGAGTAGGATCTAGATTTGTACAAATTGCTTCAACAATCGAACAGATGGATGATCTAGAAACCATGGTTGTTGAAGAGGTAGGTTGAAGGCTAAAGGCATACAAGGAGAGAATTCCATTGCATGGAGAGATAGATGAAAACATGATGTTTCTTACTCATAAACATGGATAGAAAAAAAAAAAGAAGAAGTGAAGAACATGCTCCTTCCTCACTAGAAATTAACATTAACAACGTGCAAAACCAACATAGTCAGAGGAAAGGATCATGGAAGATATGGGAATTATTAATATCATGGAGGTCATAGAAGAGGTAAAAACCAACAGCCATGTGAACGCATTTGTGATAAAAAATAATAATTGAGATAAATATAAGATTTAGTGTTACAATTGCAAAGAATTTCATCACCATGTTGTAGAACATAAAATCTTTGACATGAAAGAACTCATTAAGAAAATCTAACACAAGATCATCTAGAAAATGAACCAGTCTTATTGCTATATGTATGTCACTATGGCAAGGTAACATATGAATTTTTTATTGAATGAAGAAAAGCTCAACCTAAGATTGGTAACAACAAGAGATAATGAAAATCAATGCACGTTTTGGTCCCTTGATAATGACATGAGTAACCATATGATCAAGACTATTTCGTGACATTAATCGAGTGTTCCAAGATTATCTAAATTTTAGAGATGGTTCGAATCGTTAGGATTATAAATATTGTTCCTTTGCAAGAGTGGTGAGGATAGTCTACTTCGAAACCTGTACTATATACCAAAGTCATGCAGTAACATTATTAGCTTATGCCAACTCGTATAAAATGGTGGTTGGATCATTATGAATGGATTATACATGAGGATACATGATATGTGAAATTAGCTAATAATGAAGGTAAAACAATTCAATAGTCATTCCTACAAAGTTTATTTGAATCAAATTAAACCACGGTGCTTATTAAGTGAGGCTGAAGAACCAATACGACGATGTCATGTATAAATGGGCCATGAAAATTAGATTGCACTCAAGAAAATATATGATAAATGTATATTTTGTGGGTTGCTGAAGATTGAAACCACGACACACTTTTGTGAAGGCTGGTTGGAGATAAAGCAAACACTACTAGAAAACAAAGGTATTTAGTAACGGAATCGCTACAAAATAACTACTGAATAGTTACAGACGAGAATCCGTAGGTATTCCGTTAGTAATTAGCTACACAATTGCTACGGAATAACGAAGGAACTAAATCCGTAAATATTTTGTAGGTGATTCGCTACAGATTAGCTACGGACTATCGACGGAAGAGATTGACTACCAAATACCTACAGATTACCTACAATCTTTTTTTATTTTTCTATTTTTCAAGGATCAAATGTCGTTTTTTTCGTTTTATTTTTTTCACAACTTAATTATACTTTGATTGCTTTGTTTTGACCGATTTGTACATAACATAAACTTACATACAAACGTATGCCTCGTTAGAAATCATTACTCATTTAGAAGTTTTTTTTTTTAAATCAAAGTTATTTCTAAACATAAATAGAAATAAATACACACATTTACATACACACCATATGTATGTATTATGTTTAGTATATCATGTATTTGTTTAATGATGTTAATTGTGGCTTAAAGACAAATATAAATAGTTTTTTGTTTATTTTGTATATAGTAATGGTTTCTAATGATGCATATGTTTGTTTGTAAGTTTATGTTATGTATAGATTGGTGAAAACAAAGCAATCAAAGTATAATTAAGTTGTGAAAAAACGAAATGAAAAAAACAATATTTGACTTTTAAAAATTGAAAAAAAAAAAAAAAAAAAAACCGTAGGTAATCTGTAGGTAAATACCTAAAGATTACCCTATTCTGTAGGCAATCCGTAGTTATTTATCTACAGATTACCTACAATCATTTTTTATTTTTCTATTTTTCAAGTATTAAATGTCGTTTTTTTCGTTTTATTTTTTTCACAACTTAATTATACTTTTATTGCTTTGTTTTGACCGATTTATACATAACATAAAGATACATACAAACGTATGCCTAGTTAGAAACCATTACTATATACAGAACAAACAAAAAGCTATCTAAATTCATATTTAGTTTTTCTAATGATGCATACGTTTGTTTCTAAGTTTATGTTATGTATAAATTGGTTCAAACAAAGCAATCAAAGTATAAATAAGTTGTGAAAAAAACGAAACGAAAAAAACGATATTTGACATTTGAAAATTGAAAAATAAAAAAATATCATAGGTAATCTGTAGGTAAATACCTACGGATTACCTACAAATTACCTTATTCTGTAGACAATCCGTAGATATTTACCTACAGATTACCTACGGTCATTTTTTATTTTTCTATTTTTCAAGTATCAAATGTCGTTTTTTTCGTTTTATTTTTTTCACAACTTAATTATACTTTGATTATTTTGTTTTAACCGATTTATACATAATATAAACCTACATACAAACGTATGCCTAGTTAGAAACCATTAATATATACAGAACAAACAAAAAGCTATATAAATTCATATTTAGTTTTTCTAATGATGCATACGTTTGTTTGTAAGTTTATGTTATGTATAGATTGGTGAAAAGAAAGCAATCGAAGTATAATTAAGTTGTGAAAAAAATGAAACTAAAAAAACGATATTTGACCATTGAAAATTGAAAAATAAAAAAATACCGTAGGTAATCTGTAGGTAATCCGTAGGTATTTACCTACACATTATCTTATTCTGTAGGCAATCCGTAGCTATTTACCTACAGATTACCTACGGTAATTTTTTATTTTTGTATTTTTCAAGTTTTAAATGTCGTTTTTTTCGTTTTATTCTTTTCACAACTTAATTATACTTTGATTGCTTTGTTTTGACCGATTTATACATAACATAAACATACATACAAACGTATGCCTAGTTAGAAACCATTACTATATACAGAACAAACAAAAAGCTATCTAAATTCATATTTAGTTTTTCTAATGATGCATACGTTTGTTTGTAAGTTTATGTTACGTATAAATTGGTTAAAACAAAGCAATCAAAGAATAAATAAGTTGTGAAAAAAACGAAACGAAAAAAAAAATATTTGACCTTTGAAAATTGAAAAATAAAAAAATACCGTAGGTAATCTGTAGGTAATACCTACGGATTACCTACAGATTACCTTATACTGTAGGCAATCCGTAGGTATTTACCTACAGATTACCTACGGTCATTTTTTATTTTTCTATTTTTCAAGTATCAAATGTCGTTTTTTTCGTTTTATTTTTTTCACAACTTAATTATACTTTGATTGCTTTATTTTGACCGATTTATAAATAACATAAACTTACATACAAACGTATGTCTAGTTAGAAACCATTACTATATACAGAAAAAACAAAAAGCTTTCTAAATTCATATTTAGTTTTTCTAATGATGCATACGTTTGTTTGTAAGTTTATGTTATGTATAAATTGGTTAAAACAAAGCAACCGAAGTATAATTAAGTTGTGAAAAAAACTAAACGAAAAAAAAAAAAACGATATTTGAGCTTTGAAAATTGAAAAATAAAAAAATACCGTAGGTAATCTGTAGGTAAATACCTACGGATTACCTACAAATTACCTTATACTGTAGGCAATCCGTAGGTATTTACCTACAGATTACCTACGATCATTTTTTATTTTTCTATTTTTCAAGTATCAAATGCTGTTTTTTCGTTTTATTTTTTTCACAACTTAATTATACTTTGATTGCTTTGTTTTGACCGATTTATACATAACATAAACATACATACAAATGTATGCCTAGTTAGAAACCATTACTATATACAGAACAAACAAAAAGTTATCTAAATTCATATTTAGTTTTTCTAATGATGCATATGTTTGTTTGTAAGTTTTTGTTATGCATAGATTGGTTAAAAGAAAGCAATCGAAGTATAATTAAGTTGTGAAAAAAACGATATTTGAGCTTTGAAAATTGAAAAATAAAAAAATACCGTAGGTAATCTGTAGGTAAATACCTACGGATTACCTACAAATTACCTTATTCTGTAGGCAATCCGTAGGTATTTACCTATAGATTACCTACGGTCATTTTTTATTTTTCTATTTTTGAAGTATCAAATGTTGTTTTTTTCGTTTTATTTTTTTCACAAATTAATTATAATTTGATTACTCTCTTTTGACCGATTTATACATAACATAAACATACATACAAACGTATGCCTAGTTAGAAACCATTACTATATACAGAACAAACAAAAAACTATCTAAATTTAAATTTAGTATTTCTAATGATGCATACGTTTGTTTGTAAGTTTATGTTATGTATAAATTGGTTAAAACAAAGCAATCAAAGTATAATTAAGTTGTGAAAAAAACGAAATGAAAAAAACGATATTTGACCATCGAAAATTGAGAAATAAAAAAATACCGTAGGTAATCTGTAGGTAAATACCTACGGATTACCTACAGATAGCCTTTATCCGTAGTTAATCTGTAGTTATTTACTTACAGATTACGTAAAGTTTTATTTTATTTTATATATTTTAAGGGAAAATATAATTTATTTAGTTTTATTTTTTTCACAATATAATTATACTTTGAATGTTTTGTTTTCACCAACTTATATTTAACATAAACATATATATACAAATGTATGCATCGTTAGAACTCATTACTCATTTAAAACTTTATTATTCTTTTCTTATATATATAATATAAATAAAAGTTATTATTGTTTTCTCGGTTTAATTTTTTTTTCACAATATTATTATATTTTGATGTTTTTTTTTCACCAACTTATATGTTTGTAAAGTAGAGTAAAATTCATTTTAAAAGAAAATTCAACTTTTATTTTGGGAGAAGTCAAAATGATTTTTAAAGTTTAATAAATTTAAATATTGTATCGATCACATTATATTCAATTACTTATTCAAGGAATTAATATTTGTTATATTAACTTGTTACGCATAAATTAGACACCAAAAAAAAAGACACCGATTTATTTTTGTTATTATCAAGTATTTGCAATTTACCTAAATAATTAGAGATGCCTACAGAATTCCTACGCATCCTTTTACCTACGCAATTCCTACGCTTCCCAAAATACAATTCCCCGCTACTCTAATCGTTAGTCGTGGAGTCATCCATTACTTACTCAAACAAAACCCTACGCCTAACACCGGCGATTTCCGACCTTGCTGCAACACTCCCGGTGACAATTCCCGACCAATACCTACATCGTTGACAATTTCAGGTAACCAATTTCACTTTTGCGATTTCCAGACAACCGATTGGCGACCCACATTGACAAAATAGTTGCAGGTTTCCCCTCCAGCTGTCGCTGTCGCACTCCACCACCGGCACTATCCCAAACCACCACCGTCGCTACCCCACACTCCCATCGTCGAGACCTGCAGGTATGTATTTCTATTTTAGTTTGTTCACACTTTTACAAGACTTTGATTTTTCAATTTGCTTACATTTCACAAATTTTGCCCCTGGAGAATCAATTTTAGTTTCTGTGATTTCAATTGTCTTTGTCAGCTATGCTTTCCATACTTGTAAGTTGTCCATTGTAGTATATTTCACAAATTTAGACCCAGAGAACTTGAATCATTAATCTGCAGCAATACCTGTAACTTGTCCATTTGCATATTATTGTAAGGGATTTTACCTTTAATCCCTGGAATAGGCACCATTGAAGACACTCTTCTACTAATTGAACTAAATTTGAATAAAAAAACATAATTGAAATCCTTACCTATGTAAATGTATTGTTACCATTTTCTAATATCAATAATTATCCCATAATTGGAATCCTTACCTATGTAAATGTATTGTTACAATTATCTAATATCAATAATTATCCCACCAGTGCAACATAATTAATAGAATAACTATTTAATTACAAGCGTTTTGTTATTTCAATTTCTGGAATCCATCATATAATTGCAGCAAAGAGGAAAAGTTTTAATATTTTATGCCCCATAAAAGTCATCCACATGAATGTCAAATATACCCAAACATCCATTTGTCAATAGTAAATATTTGATCCCCTTCAAACAATCAACAAAAATCCATTTATATTTTAATTTCCACAAACAACCATCGACATCCGTATCACCATAAACCACTTGATGTTCAGCAAATATTAGATGAAAAAAAAGCATAACATACTATGCTATAATTTTATATGTTTTTCCAAGTCATCAGTTATGTTTTAATCCCTTTTCAGACGCCCCATTATTCGGGTACACATGGTGGATCAAATGATGCAGATTCGAATGGCTCTCATAGGCCATTTATCACACGAAAGGGGTACAAGTAAGTCTTTTTTTAATTATTATAAATTTACTATTTTTGATGTTATAATTATCCTTATATGGTTATTTCAATATTATAGGTTTAGGAGACAAAGTATTCATCGGGCGATCGTAAAGATATTTTGGCAGTCTATAAATGAACCTTGGGTTACTTATAAAAAAACTTCGAAGGAAGTTGTCACTCAAATGTTTGAGCGTTTTAGGGTAATATATCAATTATTTATTTTTATTATCTATTTCTCATTCACTGTTATTTTGCATTTTAAACATTTACTTTTTATTTTTTACAGACACAATACCGGTGGGATCCAAATGAAGAAGGGTTAATTCATGAAGGTTTTGAGAATACACTGAAAGATCGCTACAGGGGTAGAATGAGGGATGCTAGGGAAGCATCGGCAAATTCTGCAAGAAAAGCTGGCCACGTTATCACAGAGATTAATGATAACTTTGAGATTGTTGCAAATTACAATCCTGCTGAAATACATATAGATGTTTGGCGACGTTTATGCAGGGATAGAAATCTAATACATTATTGCTTATTTTGTTGTTTTTTATTTTGTATAATATATATATATATATATATATATATATATATATATATATATATTACATAAATGGGACACGGATGAGTGGAAAAAGTTGTCCAAAAGCGGAAAAAACAACCGTAACACTGATTCTGGGGGGGGCAGCCAGACATACGGGTGGTAGCATTAGATTTGAGGAGCACCGTCTTAAATTGGTAAGTAATCCTAATTATAGATTTTAGTGATAAATTTTTCTTTCAACACTAATTATATCAATTATATTGTGTCGTTTATATAGAAACAGTTGACGGGTGAAGAACCCTCTTTCATTGATCTTTATTATAAGACACATTTTACTGCTGAATCAAAGAAAATATATTTTGGGGAGATAAAGAGGCGCAAGTGGATTTTGTGAATGAGACATCTAGAGTGGCGATCGTAAGTTGTCTTTATCTTTTTATATATTTACTAACATTAGTTTTTACTTTTTAGTACAATAACAAAACCTTTCTTTTGGCATGCTGTAGGAATCATATAACACATCCCTATCTAAAAAATATGGTGATGATCCGACTCAACATAATGTGAATGATCCTGAATTGTGGACCCAAACACAATTGCTTAGGAAAGGCAGGAAACAAAAAGGTTCTATCTATGGGGCAGGATACTCGGATCTGCACTTTCTGATGACGGGTGCATATTCTTATGAGTCAACTTCAGCTTCTGCTGACTTTGCAAAGTCACAACAGGAGGTACTATTATTTACATAATATATTATAGATACAAAAAATCAAGTAAAGAGGTACTTAATATGGCTGAAAAATATATGCTCATATTGGTAAGGTACATTGTTGTTACGGGTGAAAATTGAAATATGTTGTCATTATTGATATTAGGTAAAGTGCATTGTTATTATGGTTGAAAATGATACTTTGTTGTTATTATTAAATTAGGTAAAACATAATGCTATAATGAATGAAAATTATAGTATGTTGCTATTATTGATATTTGGTAAAGTAAATTGTTGTTATTGATAATAATTTAAATATATTGATATTATGGATTGGAAATGTAAAGTACAATGGTATAATGGATAAAAATATAGTATGTTATTATTATGCATATAAAAAGTTATTATTATGGATGTTAAAAACAATGTACATTTTTATTAGCAGTAGTGTGTTTTTATATTGAATTAAAAGTAAAGTACATTGCTATCATGGTTTAAAGTTGAATTACATTTACTAACTGCATGTGTTTGTCTTGCTATATTTAGGTAAATGAATTGCGACAAAAAATATCAAACATGGAACAAGCCATGGAAGAAAAGCAAAGTGAAATGAATTTGCAAATGCAATAAATGCGAAATGAAATGGAATTGCAAGTGCAACGACAATTGGCGGCTTTTATGAAATAAATTAATCCGTCCGATAATCCACCAAGTAGTTCTTAGTTTTTGTTTTAGAACACTAAATTAATGTTATGTTATTGACTTGTTCTTAGTTTTTGTAATGGTATTGTAATGGTATTTTGAGTATTTGAATGTATGAATGGCATGTTATTGACTATTTTAATGGTAATGAATGTAATGGTATTTGATTATTATTTTAATTATTTATTTGGTTTTTTTAGCAGAAAATTTGGATATTTTTTAAATTATAATTATGTAGGAATTATAAATTTAATATAGCAACAAAAATTGGTAAAAAATTCATAGAAAATTTGTAGGAAATAAATATTCAGTAGGTATTCGATAAGAAATAAAATCCAATAAAATATGTAGGTATTCTGTAGGAAAAAAAATGTTGGTAGGTAATCTGTAGGTAAAGTAGTTGGTAGGTATTCTGTAGGAAAATCAGTCGGTAGGTAATCCGTAGGTAAAGTAGTTAGTAGGTATTCTGTAGGAAAATCATTTGTAGGTAATCCGTAGGTAAAGTAGTTGGTAGGTATTCTGTAGGAAAATCATTTCGTAGGTATTCCGTAGGTAAAGTAGTTGGTAGGTATTCTGTAGGAAAATCATTTCGTAGGTATTCCGTAGGAAAATAATCTGTATGTATTTTGTAGGAGTTCCGTAGCTAAATAACCCGTAGGTAATCTGTAAGTACTCCGTAGTTAACGTGTTCCGTAGGTATTCCGTAGTTAAATTTGTAACAGAATATTCCGTAGGAAATGCGTAGGAACGTTTGTAGCTAATTTGTAGGAAAAAATTACCCACGAGGGTTTTCCCTACAAACCGTTTTTTGTAGGAAATCTGTAGGTAACGCCTTGTTCCTACGGATTTACTACCAATTATGCTGTAGGTAATTACTTAGTTTTCTAGTAGTGAACTCGAACATTATATCAAACATGGGTAGTCTTTCAGGCCAACCAAAGACATGCTAGTTCAAGAGGATCTATATGATCAAATTTAACCACCCATACCAGATGGAAACATATACTTCTTATTTGTTAGTAAGTACATTTTGGATTCAGAGTGTTGCTGGTGGCGTTGATTAAATAGGTGAAGCTTTTGATAACCGTATTACAGATTATTATATTGATAAATGTTACGAAGAAATACAAGATGGTTATACTTGGGAAGGTCGAAATTTGAATATAAGAAATAAAAATAGGTTTTTTCATATGCTACTCAGTTTGCAGTTAGAAAAGAATTAATGTGTAAGGAGGGTATTAAGAAACTAATACGTTGTTTAGCTGATGTAAGTAATACCAAAGGAAATGTATATGAGGTGATTCTTGTTGGTGGATCAACTAGTATACCATAGTTCCAATAATTGTAGCAGTTATTTGATAGGAAGGATCTATATGACAAAACAAACCTAAAAGAAGTTTTAGCTTATGGGACAAAAACTATAACTATAAAGTTATGTGGTAAATCTATGAAAATTGTAAAGGAGTTAATTGTATTTGAATTCATTCCTGTGTCACTTCGCATCGAGACAAAAGGTGAAATAATGGTCATTGTCATCCCAAGGAACACTACTATACATGCGAAGAAAACCAATATTTTTGTTACACGCATAGACAAGAAACCATGTTTTAGAATGCCACTCTATCAATGTTAACAGTCTAAAGTTACCGAAACTATTTTTGGTAGCATTTATGGTCTTTGGAATACCACTTGTGATGAAAACACGGTGTTCAAGATAAAGTTTAAAACATAAAGGTTTTGGTTTTGCAATGGAAGTCTTTGATTAAAACTTGAACAACATAAAATCCATAACAAGATCACAATACATGTACATTCAAGAATTTTATTTAAATAACTATAGAAGGATAAAATAAACAACGCCTTGTTGTCCTTTGGTCCTCACAGGAGGTAGAAAGATGATGATGATGGCAAGAACTCAAAATAGAATCCCATTTTGACTAAGTCCACCAAAAAGCTCCAACATCGACTTGGAATGCTAATTCCCTATTGTTCAAAGGATTCTATTAAGCTCGAAAACCAAAGACCAACTTTTGTTCCAATAGAGGCAATGTAAAAAAAATAAGATTTCTAACTTTGTCTTCAAAAAGAAAAAAAAGAACACCAAGAACATACAAACACATACTAGTGTGTGTGTTTGGCCAAAAGTAAGAAGGAGAGGGAGAGAGTGTGTTAGTTGCTTGTTTTTATGCAAGTAATCTCTTGTGTGTAATATCTACCAAATCAAGTCATACTTACATGACTAAATATTGATGATTACTAAAGTAACCAAAAATACAGAGAAATGCATACAACCAATCAAATAAAAGCTAGTCATGTGTATTTCTCTTTCTAGCCTTTATTAGTTTGACTAGTTACAAGTCACTACTTTAACTAGCTAAACTTTATTATTTTAAATCCTCCCCATATTTTCTAATTACAAATTGATCATCTTATGATTTAAATAAACTTGATTCTTTTTATTTTCACATCATTTATTTATATTGAACATTTCCAAATAATATTTACAAGAAATAATAATATTTGTCTTATCTTGAAATGACATGAATATTATTTAATAGCCGTCTACATATTTTAGGTGTGACCCTATAGGATCATATGTTATTGAGAATATCAGTTTGTGATCATTCTTGAGCATATAGAACCAACAATCTCCCACTTGTGTAAGATTGAATCATAGAATGATATAGACAACGGTGAACGTCTAACAACATTTCACTACCCCCGACAACACTTGATGAAGTGCAATTCAACAACTTTCTATTCCAATTAGATCATAGCTTTAATTGAAGTATCTAGGTGATGTGTTAATTATCCCTTTGTTTCGGACATAATGTTAAACATTAGACATGGATCATAATCATTCTCATTTGGTGTTCCACATTAGTTAGGATCCTTAGATGTCTCACTCTCAACACATAAAAAGAACAAATCCTAATTTCACTACATATGCCTCTTATGCAGATCATATTGTACCTAATGATGGCCTTATGATTTTCTGTTTAAAGAGCATGGAAGAACCGTATTAAAACGAAACACTCCTCACACTTGAGTCCCTAATATGCATCTCAGGCCCAAGGATACAAAGATACTAACTTATTCAAGAGTCACTCATAACGACAATACATGAAGTGATGTTGATGCGGGCCATGTCTAATACTTGTCCTTGAGTAAGTGCCTCTGAACTTGGTTGCAATTCCCTTTGCAAATTTCATCTTTTGAAATTCAACCAATAAAATTCATATTAGTTTTTCTTCATATTTGTTCCCACACATATGATCGATCGTGGACCTTTTAGAATAATTAATTTTTTAGAAGGATTAAACATGCTAATATAGAACACAACAAATTTTAATGAAAATATCATATCTCCATATAGCAAATTCATTACGTAATTGTTGCTTACAATTTTCCAGCATCCAAATATAAAATTCAAATCAAATCCATTCACTAGAATAACAAAACCATATATCTCTAGTGTGATTGTCATGCTTAGCTGGTGGCAATGGCTTCGTGAATGTGTCCACTACATTTTGATCTGTATGAACTTTGAAAATAGAAACATAACCCTTTTCAACTATACTATGAATGTACTTCAATCTTCTTTGGATGTGCTTGGTTCTTTTATGTGATCTTGGCTCCTTAGCTAATGTTTGGCACCTTTATTATCACAAAATATCTCTAGTGGATCTTGAATGGTCGGGACAACCCCTACATCTTCAATGAATTTGTTCATCCAGGATGCTTCTTGTGCTTCTTCCGAAACATAAATGTATTATAACTCTATCGTAGACTGTGTTATAACACTTAGAAATCGCCCCTCCATTCATAATGAAGACAAAACCTGATTGTGATTTTGAATTATCTACATCTATTCGGAAACTAGCATCGATGTAACACTTTAGACTAAGATCTTCTTCTAAACCTCCATAGATAAGGAACATTTCTTTAATTATTCGTAAATACTTCAGAATGTTCTTAACAACAATCAAATGACCCTCTCCTATATTTTTTTGATATCTACTAGTCATGCTTTAAGCATACCATACATCCTGTCTTGTGCATAACCTGGCTACATAATGGATCCAATTACAAAAGCATATAGGTTTCCATTCTTTATCTCTAACTTAGTTTTTGTGTTAGGGGAACTCAATATAGTTCCATGTGGTATTGGAAAAAATCCTCTCTTAAAATTTTCAATCTTGAATCTTTTCAAGATTTTGCTAATGTATGCACTTTGACTTAAATAAATAAGCCGCCTTGATATATCTCTAAAGATCTTTATACTAAGTATATTAGCTGATACACCTAATTCTTTCATTAAGAAACATTTCTTAAGCCATTCTTTAAATTATTTTAAAGAAAGAATGCCATTTCTAATGAACAACATGTCCTCTACATATAGAACTAAGAATAGTATAGTGCTCCTCTTAGTTTTCTTATAAACAAATTGTTATTCTTCGCTTCAGATAAAACCATACTCTTTGATTTTCTCATTGAAAAGAATGTTGATTCTTGCCTACACACTTTGTCTGCATAATCTAGGTATGTGTGTAACATTTTGCTACAAGTCTAGCTTTATATGTGTGTAGATTCCATCCATGTTGGTTTCTTCTTAAAAACCGACTTACTCCCTATTGTCTTATTATTAGGAGGAATATCAACCAAATCCCATACTTGATTTTCATGCATGGATTGCATCTTGGTGTTCATGGATTTAATCTATCTGTCAGATTCAAAATCTAACATACCATTATGGTAACTGATGGGATCATCGAAATTCACCATAAAAATCTCATCCATGAGAAATCCATATCCCTCTATTTCTAGATTAACTCTAGCAGATCTGTGAACACCTTGACTTTCATTAAGTTCCTAATCAATGACTTGTTTAGGTTCAACAACTTCTTGTTGGGTACTGGTTCCAACTTATAGTGCATCGGCTTATGGCTCCTCCTCAAGTTCCACATGCGTCCCACTAGATTTATTCATTGGAAAATTTTCTTTTTAAGAATTCAACCTTCCTAGCAATAAATACTTTGTTTTCGCTGGGATTATAGAAGTAATATACTACACAATCTTTAGGATACCCTATAATGATACACTTACTAGATCTATTAGGGGTGGCAAATAGTGCTATCGTTTCGTGTTTCTGTCTAACATGACATGA